CTACACCACCGACAACCATGGGAGCAATAAGAATAGCCTTTTACAGGCCTGGCTCCGTGGCCGAGTGGGTCAAGTTCCGTGTGCTCTGCTTCGGTGGCCCGGGTTTTCGAGTTCAGATCCTGGGCACGGACCTCCTCCACTCACCAGCCGCACTGTGGAGGTGTCCCATATACAAAAAAATAGAGGAAGAATGGCACGGATGTTAGCTCAGGACTAATCTTCCTCGAGCAAATAAAAAAAAAAGAGAGGAAGATTGGCAATGGATGTTAGCTCAGGGCCAATCTTCCTCAGAAAAAAGAAAAAAAAGCAAGAATAGCCTGTTACTTTTTCATCTTCATTACTTTGGTGGGGAGTTGTTTTTTCATTTCTCTGACATTTGTTTTTTGTGTGTTGTTTTCTCTTGACTCCCTGGGAACTTATTTGAAGGGCAACAGATTTGTTCTCAAGCATGTCTGATTATTCATTTAAGACCGTATTTTGTAGTTGTGGAAACTGAGTTATCTGGAGAAGAACCAGAGCTGGAACGGTTTAAACAGCCAGGAACAATGAATGCTTTGCTGGTTAGGACTTCGTATCGCCCAGGGCCACCTTCATGTCTCCCTGGGCAAGGGCCATCCTTTGACCTGGGCAATAGGAGCCTTTCTCTGGGCCTCATGATTTAGGGGTTCTGCTCTGGTCCTCCTTGGCCATCCATTCCCATGGCCAGGGTGGGGTGGGATGTGTGAGAGGCCAAGGGGATGTGGCCACCTGGAGCCCTGGAGCTGGCCACTTCTGCTGTCCTAGAACCAGATACCTGGGACCCATGACTTTCCACCCCAAAGTTCCCCAACTCTCTTCCAGAGCCTGCTGTGACTTCTCCCCCGGTCTGTGGCAGTGCGTACATCTTTAGGCTGGATTGGTGATCAAGGAGCAACTATTATGGGAGGAGTAGGGGAGGAGAGGGACTGGGAGAGCTGTGGAAACAAACATGGATCTGGGTCTGGCTGTCCATAGGAATTCTCAGGACCTCCCAGTGTAGGATAGAAATAGGGAAGGGGGGAGTCTTGCTGCCATCCCTAGCCACTTTGTTTTCATATCTAAGAGAAAAAGCAACCCCGTTTTTTACACGAATTTGAGTTAGGAAAGAAAATAGTTGGGATCTACAACTGTTGTGGGTTGAATTGCATCCCCCCAAAGGATGTGTGAAGTCTTAATGCCTGGTACCTGTGAAAGTGACATTTGGAAATAAGGTCTTTGAAGATGTGATTAAGTTGAGATGAGGTCATACTGGAGTAGAATGGGCTCTAAATCCAATGACTTATGAGGAAAATGATGTGAAGACAGACACATGTGGAAAAAGCCACATGAAGACAGAAACAGAGATTGGAGTTAAGCTGTCACAGCCAAGGAACACTAAAATTGCAGGCAACCACCAGTAGCTAGCAGAGAGGAGTGGAAGAATTTCTGCTCAGATCCTCCAGAAGGAACCAATCTGCCAACACCTTGATTTTGAGTTTCTGGGCTCCAGAACTGTGAGAGAGTAAATTTCTATTGTTTAAACCATTCAGCTTGTGGTACTTTATATGGCAGCCCCATGAAACTAATATATAACTGCTAAATTATTTTGAAAAATGGGATGTTTTTTGAATCCATTTTATTGACAGTGTAATGAAGATTACCTTGCCAAAATAATATAGCAGCCTAATTCCCTGAGACCTGCCAAAGTGCTTAGTAACTTTGCACAAAGAGTAAAAATAGTCTGAAGATTATATTCTTTCTAAAAATTTATATGTTTATCTCCAAATAAGGTTGTATGGGCTATTATTTGATAATTCTTGACAGTAAAAAAATTGATTTCTATTCACTTTCCTAAATGGAAGAAAGTGAATCAAGGAGGCCTTCGCTGGGCATAAAGTTTAGAAATAGTATGAAAGTAGATGACCTGGTCCTACATTGGCTGTCATCTTTGCCTCCAATCTTATGCTAGAGGAGAAGCTGAAAACACATTACCTGACATGTTGTTGGTTTAAGTGTGTGCTTAGGATGTTAATGTAGGTTATGAGTAAGAGGAGCCCCCTAGTCAAAAAAATTGTCTAGTCTGAGCTAAATAAAGATAAAGACCTTTTTCATGACAGGACATCTGAGGAGCTTCAGTGTGCTGATGTATATATAATGACGCTCTAAAAAAGATTCTAGTGGACCTCCTTCCCATGTTTATTTTACCATAGAACCTATTATGGAAGGAATTTCTGAAACTGGGCCCCTCCGTGGACTAACTTTTGGGGTGTAAGAGTATTGCTTCTACTGATGTTTCATTGAGTCACTTTGGGTTGGATAGATGTTTCCCTATCATCTGTACATTTTTCTTATTTTTCCCCTGTTTTAAAAATCTCCCTTCCTTTTAAAAATATATGACCTTTTATCCACAAGTCATTACCCATCTCTGTTGTACGTACTTTAAGTTAGATTCTGAGATGTCCCATCCAATATAAAAGAAGCATTGAGTATTCTTGTATTCTAGATTCAGCAAATCATTACTATCCTACCTCTTTTTCTTCTATGTCATTTTTCTTTGCTGTTGATATGAAGCTTTTTTATTGGGATGAACCATAAGAAATAGCTGATATTCAACTTATATAAGTGGCAATTTCATGTGTTTCTACCTAATTCACTAATATTATTAAAGAGTCATTACAGTTACCAAGGTACTTAATTTACCAAAAGAGGCTTAGCCACTTCAAGGATTTGGCTTAATGCTTTTATAAATAGACTGGATGGTTGGCAGGAGAGATCACTTATGCTTGTAAATGATACCAAGTTGGCCAAGATTGACAATATCAAGTAGAGCCAGAAAGGAATACAAAACGATACAATCAATTTGATGGAGTAATGTGCATTGGGTAAAATGAATTGCAATTAGGTTGCCTGCAAGGTTTTGTTTGTGAAATAGAATAATTAATTTGAAGAATGCAATGGGAATAGAAACATTTACATGGACTGGGCCACATGCAGAGGAGTTTTAAAGTCACAGCCAATCACAGATGCAGGCTCTGCTGAACATGCCCAAATGGGACATCTCCGAGCCATTCATTCTGACTGACCATCTGGACCTCATCATATGGGTTTTGCCTGCCGTGTGGAATGCCTGTTGGCCCTAGATCAACGATTCCATTCTGTCGTGGCCTATGAATTCAGGCATTAAGACATAGTATCACTATCTTGAGTAATATAAGAATACTCTCCCTGCAACCCATTCAAACTATGCTCACCTTTCAAGGGCTGGTTAAAGGTTATGGATATCTAGAAAATCTTCTCTCCCCTCTTATTTCTATAGGTCATAGACTATATTACTCAACACAAGGTCCAATAAACATTTTTGGCTGAAGATAACACCATCGTCTTTGTGTATCAGTCTCGACTTTGAAATTTTTAAGTTCCTTGAGGACAAGTGCCAAGGATTGTATGTGTTTTGCACTTCAGTCTGGCTAATATGTAGTCAATAAAAACATTAGTAGGCTTCCTCAAGCAGGACTTAATAAAGTTAATGATCACAACAATAAAAACAGCAAAATGTTGATTTGAGAGCATGAAAGGTTGAGAAACTTCCATGGAAGTAGATGAATACGGCTCTTATTCCTTTGATTCTTGAACCAAATTTCCTCATTTAGAAACAAAATGCATACTTATTTTTCACATCAATCTTATCCCAAGGTGGTATTTAATATCTACATAAAATTTTATTACATGTTAAATTCAAATAAATATAAGGCCAATGTTTAGTTTAACGGAGTTTCATATAAGATTCCTTACTCAGAGTTTGTAGTTTTATGTGTTATAAAATGCAGTTATATGGAAATGGACTTTTGTCTCTTAAATGTGGAGGTGCTAGGTGAATTTCTTTTTTAGTGCTAAATTTTCTGACCATGTGGTTTATCAGACTTCTGGTTTATTATCTATCCTAATGTCTTTATAAATTAATTTAATGATTTATCAAAGTTGATTATTGAAGCAAAATTCACATACTCTATTATACTGTATATAATAGGATTACCTCTCAGCCACTGTAATATACATGTGTTTGAATTTATTATAGCTCAGTCCTGAACCAACATCACCCTTAAGACTGTTAGCTACAGTCATTTCCTTTGGAAAGCAATTTGAGTCTAACTGAATGTCGTTAAATTCTCAGGCCATGGTAAGTGTAACTGTGGCAAGTGTGAATGTGATGAAGGATGGTCTGGGGATGCTTGCCAGTACCCAACTCACTGTGACCTGACCAAGAAAAAAAGTAACCAAATGTGCAAGAATTCTCAAGATGTCATCTGCTCTAACGCAGGTAAGAATTCTATCCTATAAAAAACTCTTAAGTGAAATAATCAAATATTGTTTCTTAATGGAAATATGTAGGCGTTGAGAAATGTTGAACCTCTGAGTTAGACTGCTTTTGAGTATATTTTTTAGAAATGAAATTCAGATAAATCAATAGGAAAAAATGCCATCTTGCTGAGACTGGCAAGTGTGACACTCTCCAGCTGTTCCAATGGCTCCTTCAAGCAACATATTTACTGGAAACAACACTCTGATAACATTTTATGTAAATTGTGAGCCATATTTTGAATGCTGGATTAAATCTTTTTAAAAGGATTTATATAAACTGACTTAATTATTTTCTGTTACAGATCAAGGGTGCTTTGAATTTATAACTTAGCAACAAACAAAACCAAACCTTTTTAATTTGATAGAAGTTTCAGATGTACTAAATATGAAACTCATTGAAGAATATAGTGACAGCAAGATTTTTTGTTAGACCAAAATATTTTTATATCTCAAAGAAGTCATTTAAAAATATTTCTTAGAAGTTTACAGAGATGCTGTTAAAATTGATTACCAAAACCATAGAAAACAAAACAACTGTGGTTTTGGTTTCAATGGTGTTTAGCCAGTGTTACTATAATTAAGTACTGTTTTAACATCTGGGCATGTGGAACTTCAAAGTCAGCTTTTCTCAACCCTGGTTGAACTTGAGACTGCTCCTGTCTTGTACTAGAGGCTCTGATTCAATTGCTTTGGGGTGTGGTCTGGACTAAGGTGGGTTTTTGAAGCTCTCCGAGTAATTCTTACATAGAGGATTGAGGTAGTTGAGCCATTGCTCTGCAAGGTGAAGGTGAGGATTTGAGTACATGAATGAATATCTTCCCTCCTGAAGCTCACTTTGTTGGTAGAGTCCTTCTGCAATCAGGTGGGACCTTTCCACAGTCTTTGATTGTGACAAATTACTCAGTGTAGATTAAGTGCAATTGGGTATTTTGCTAGTAGTAATCAGTATCCATACCCAAGGCAAAGCGTGAGTGGACCAGTCAGGGACTGTGACAGTAGTCTCAACAGTCAGGTCACTTTCTGTGTTCATGAATATTCTTCTTGCTTCTCTCTAGCACTTCAGTCTTTTCTTTCCTCTCAGTAGGATTTCTCTACTTCCAGTTCATAACACCCATCCCTCCAAACACACACACATCCCACATAGCCTCTTTAATTTTGAAAAATTCATGCTTTTCAAGCTTCTTTCAGTAATAAGACTTGAAATCTGTTTTGTTTCTTTATTCTCTATTTTTTTATTTATTTATTTTTTCAAATCAAATCCATGTTATTATTACTTTTTTAATAATACATTATAACCAAATAGAGTATATATAGTCTAGGAATCCAAAGATGTTTCAACATTAAGGAATCTAAACATGTGATTCGTAGCATTAACATATCTTAAAGGAGAAAATTTATGGAATTGTTTCAATAAATGATAAAACATTAGATAAGACGTAGAACACATTTCTAAGACATCTGTATCTATCTTTTTTTAACATTGATACAATACTTTTATGTAATCTAACATCCATATTCCAGTTTCATCAATTGACCCAACAATGTCCTTGATAGTATGTCCCCCACTCTGTATAGGATCCAGGCTAGGGGCAGTGTTATGTTTCGTTGTCATCTCTCTTTAGCCTCTTTTAATCTGGACCGTTTCCACAGAAAATTTTGAAGAAAATTGTCCTCAACCTCTTTTTTTTTAAATAGAATATTACTTATTTTGGGTTTGTCTGATGTGTCCTCATGATTAGATTCATGTGATACATTCTTAGCTGAGATACTGGATAGACGATTTTGTGTTCTCAGGATGTGTCATCCGGAAGTACATGATATCCATCTGCTGTGGTCACCTGGTCAGGGTGTTGGTCTGATGTCTCAGCTCCGTAATTACTGATTTTACCCTTGTAACAAATGAGCAGTCTGTGGCGGAACCTTTGAAACCAAGAAATATCCCATCCTCACCAAAATTACCCCAGATTGACCATCCATTGATGATTCTCACCTGATCCCCTGTTTACACTGATGATTGAAAAATGATGATTTCCAAACTCCAACATTTCCTCCATATTTACCAGTTGACACCCAACATTCTACCACAATGAGAGTCATCTCTCATCTATCAATTATATAATATTTATTATCAGTGATTTATTATTAGTCTAGGATCAGAATTCCTATTATTTCAATGGTTTATTGTTCATTACTGTACTTAATTATTCTGGTTCTCAGATGATCTCAGATTAGGCTAGTGGAGCCCCTTCAAGCTAGCTTCTCTATCCTTGTGACATGCCTCCATTGTTTTTTTGTTTTGTTTTGGTTTGGTTTGGTTTGGGTTTAGCAATTCTTTACTTTCTGGCATAACAAAATATTCTGGAGTCATATTGTCCCCGCCTTGCCACAGTTTTGGAATCAACCATTTCTCTAAGGAGCCCTGATTCCTTTCAGTGAAGAATGGTGTTAGAATAAAAATTGTGAGCACTAGGGATGCTTATTTTTACTAGGGTGTATTTAATTCTTGGCCTTTCTGAAAATAGGCTGGTAAAATATATGCATGTAAATATATATATACACAAATGCATAAACATACATGCACACATATATGCATATACATATACATATTTTAAAAATCATGAATTCACACCAATGCATCTAACTCCAACCCATCCCCACAAGGTTATTTCTTGTTTTTTCCCTTCCATATTTGTGTGTATCATCTTCCACAGTGAGAAATCTGGCTCCCAACATCATCAACATATTTACTCATTTGCTCAATTCTATAGTACACCTAAAATTGTTTTTAGAATTGCTTTGTACGTATCACCATGCAAAACAAATCTGCTGAAAAATCTCAGGATTTTTTTGCAATCCGTCTCCTCCCCCACCTTCGCCCCACCCCAGTCGTACCCGAGATTGGGGTGTGTGGTCAAATGCCGTGTTCAAACGTTACTTGGATTTTTTTCTTCATTTCCCCTCTATAGAATAGTTAAGGTACTCCTTTGAAACACAGTTGAGCTCATTATTACAGATGGCTTTCAGTTTCTGAGTTTTTTTCTCCTTCCCATTCTCATTGATTTCATTTTATTTTATAATATGTAGAACATTAACATGCTTCCAAAAGTCAAAACTTTGCAAAAAAGCATACTCAGTGAAGCATCATTCTCTTCCTTAAACCTTCTATCATGCTTCCCCTCATACTGTATAGGTGACCAACATTACTGCTTTCTGCTTTATCTGTGTATGTTTTTATTCTTGAAAAGATAAATAGATATATGTATGCATTATTATTTTTTAATTTTTCAATTTTTTCCTTTTATATATGCTCTTTTGCCACTCAACATTATCTCCTGGAATTCACTCCATATCAGTTCATAGAAATCTTACTCATTCTTTTTTCAGATGCATAGTATTCACTCCCATGCAGGTGACATAATTTATTCAATCAATCTCTTATGCTTGGGCATTTAGACAGTTTCCAATATTTTGAAATTACAGCTATTAATACACGGAATGAACTGGTGCATAGGTATTATCATATTTTCGGAGGGGTATCTTCAGCGTAAATTACTAGAAGTGAGATTGCTGGGCCAAAAGGTGAATTCATACTCAGTGTTACATTTAATCTTTTCTTTCTCTCTTCCTCTCTTCTCAATATCTAAGGCTTTCAAGTCTACTTTGGCAATCTCATTCTCACATGTCTTTCTTTTAATGCCTACTTCCACCAGCCTAGTTCAGGACCACTCCCCCAAAATTGCATTAGTCTGTGAGTTCTCTCTACTAATCTTTCGCCTTCATATGGCAATGTGTTTTGCTGGAAGCAGATGGGAGCAGAAGATAAAGAGGAGATACATGAAGTGAGGCATAAGACTGAAGGGCAGGGCAAGATGGAGCTGGAGACTAAAGGAGTTCCAGAAGCCGACTCTGTAGGGGCCCTGAAAGGCAAGGCACAGTCTGCAGAGTGACGTGAGGCTCTAGTGCCATGGCGCAGGGGTATAGGCTAGTGTTCAAGGCAGGGGAGTCATCCTAGAGACAGAAAGCTATATTAGGCAGAATGAAAAGTCAGAGCTAAAATAGTCTAGCATAAAGCAGAAAACCAATCCTAGAGACTGAGTTAACTGGCAACCAAGAGAGAGATGCAGTATGGCATAGCATGAACACAGGAGTCTGGCACTTTTGCCTGGGCTTCCATATGCCGTATCTTGGAGCTTCAGTTGTGAATTCTACTTGATGAGTGAGACAGGAAGTCTCTGAGCTGTTGTAAACTTCCCACATCAGCCAGGAATGGTTCAGATGTGTGGATGGGAGTGAGCCTGCCTGTGGGGGACGTCAGTGAGAAGTCGTAGGATTCAGAGGCAGAGGCTGTTCCTGCCTGTCTTACCTAAAAACAACTACTGTGTCCATAGCCCTAGGTTACACCTCGCTCCCAAACCATGAAAGGCTCCTGCTGTCCCAACAGATAAAATCTGAAATCCTTGACCAATAGTCTTTTCTTTTCTTTTTTTTTTGGTGAGGAAGATTAGCCTTGAGCTAACACCTGTTGCAAATCTTCCTTTTTTTGCTGAGGAAGATTGTCCCTGAGCTAACATCTGTGCCCATCTTCCTCTACCTTATATATGGGACGCCACCGCAGCATGGCTTGATGAGCGGTGCAGAGGTCTGCACCTGGGATCTGAACCTGTGAACCCTGGGCCGCCCAAGCGGAGCGTGCGAACGTAACCACTACGCCACCAGGCTGGCCCCCTTGACCAATATTCTTGATCCTCTGCTGTCTGCCTTTAACCTACCCTTTTCTCAAACTCAAGCCCGATGCTTCACTGTCCTTTAATTCTCCATTCTTATTCTTTATTCCAGGCTCTTTCCTCAGTGCCACAAGTCTTTTCTCCATCTCCACTTGTTGAAATTCTATCCGTATATCAAGTGCCAACTCAAGAACTTACCCCTTTACTGTGCATTTCCTCCTTCACAGAGCCAGATTGAGGTTTATACTTTCTATAAAGCATTTGTCACAAATCTGTTGCAAATGACTGTGCGTCATCTGGTTTCATATACATATATATTACTGATCATCTAGCTCTTTCTTCCTGGTCTATGATTTACTTAGTTTTAATTTTATTCATCTTATAATCTCCTGTAGCACCTAGTGCTTTGCCAATAATATAATAGGCAACAAGAAAATTTAACGAATGGATATGTGGATGGTTGAAAGACTATATGAATAAACGTGAAAATAGAAAAGAAGGGTGATAATTAGAAAAAAAAATGAGATCAGGCAATATCATGAATTACAGTATTAGATTCGAAATGAACTTTTATAAATTAAAATAGTTTTCAGGAAAAAATACAAGAAAATGAAGTTTAATAAAAATAAAATTTATACGAGTATTCCCCAGGAAGAAAAATAACAAGCTCCAATTCTGCAAAATCGTCATTTATATGTGACTGTGAGAGAAAAAACTCTTACAGATAATAGCAAATTACAAGTGACCTGGATAACAGAATCAAGCAGAGGGTATGAAAACAGGACATTGTGGGGTCCAGAAATATAAAGTGAGTCTGAGAAAATATTTGTGAATATGACTAATAAACTCGATATCTTAATGGGAGTGAACAAAGAACCCAAAGTTTTCTGAAAGCCTACTGTACTAGACACAGTAGTGTTTTTAGAAAGATGCCTGGGTGATGTATTTATCACTTGGTCCTAACGGCAGCTCTATGAAGTAGATATTATTTACGGATAAGGAATTTGAGAGTTAGAGAAGAAAGTAATGACCTCAAAAATGTATAACTAGTGGAGATTAAAACCTGGATTTGGCTACAAGTCTACCTTAGTCCTCTATCCATGCTCTTTCCGGTACACCACATACAGAATTGTCAATATCCAGTAGCTCAAGTCAAATAACAATATTATCTTTGGTTTCTCCCTGTCCTTCACCCCTCATACCCAGTCACCGAGTCATCTATTCTTCCTCCTGAAAATATCCCCAAGTGTATTTGCTTCTTTCTAACCTCACTGCCATCACCCTGGTCAGCCTCTATCTTCTTTCCTGCAGACAAATGTAATAACATTCCCTCATATCCACTTTTACCTCATTTTAGTTCATTCTCCATATGACAACCAGGGTAATCTGGTAAAGATGCATGACTGATCACATGACTCTCTTGCTGAAAATACTTCTTTGGCTTCTGGTTCTTCTTGGATTAAAGTTAGAAATCTTTCACATGAGCTGTAAGATTTCCATAAAATGCATCTTCGTTACTCTATTCATTTCATGCCACTTTCCACGTTATTTTCTATACTGCAGCCATGTTTGATTTTTTTCTCTTATTTCCTCTTTCACCGTAGAGACTCTGCTGTTGTCTGGAAGTGGGCCTCTTCGCCTTCTCATTTCTCTGAGCTGTTTTTTTACTTGGCTCTCAGTTCTCAGTTTATGAGCTACCTCCCCACGGACTGTATCTTTGACTACCAGGTCTCAGTTAAATCCCCTTTGCTATGCGCTTCTGCAACACTTTGCACTTCACCATTTGTTTTATCACACTGGTTTTTACTCATATAAAACTCTAAGAGGAGCATTATGGCTGACTTGAGCTCCTGTTACATTTCCAGAGTCTAGGATGGTAGCTAGTGAGTGGTGAAGTCTCAATTAATATGTGTTGATTGCTGTGATGATCAATTAAAAATTGAGAAATAAGTATTAAAAAGGAAGTTCCTCAACTAGACAGTCTATCTCTCAATATCATTTAAATGCTGTTTTACTATCACTGAAATCATTCTCAGGGGTTATAGTTAAATCATCAAACTTGGCTGAATATGTGGCAGGAGGTAGACAAAATGATTCCAGTGCCTCTGTATCACCCTGAGCTGCCCTGAGGTTTTGGTGAGGTCCCAGGATGCTATGCCTAAGAAAACTCACTCTGAGACCATTGTCATAAGGACATGTGTGTCAGTTTAACATGTGGATGTGAAATTATTAGGAGCATCTAAGTTTCTCGTTTATGCATTTAATAATGAATTCCACAAATATTTATTATATAAATAGTATGCTCAAATATTGTGCAAAGCATTGAATAAATACTGGTGAGGAAGATAAGCAAGGTTACTTCCCGCACGAAGCTTAGAATTCTCTGCTTTAGTTCACTTCAGACCCAGGTGTAATCAGAAGATATTCATTCACACATTGATTGAATGGACATGTATAGGGTAGCTCTGCACTTGGGAGGTGAAATTTACGTTCATGTAACTGTTAGAGGTCAATCATAATATCTGTGTGCTATAAAATGTAATTGCTGTTCTACAATAATCTCAAGCAAGAATGTCATTATCTATCTCATCATACCCCCAGTAATACATAATTGGAATATTAAATTGATTTGAATTGTCTATATCCTTGAAAGAGATAGGTTAAAAATTTGTTATTTATAGTTTATATGCATTTAACAAATATTTTTTGCTTTATTTTAATGGTTTAGGTACATGTCACTGTGGCAGATGTAAGTGTGATAATTCAGATGGAAATGGACTCGTTTATGGTAAATTTTGTGAGTGTGATGATAGAGAATGCATAGATGATGAAACAGAGGAAATATGTGGAGGTATGTATATTAACTTTGCAGAAACTAATAACAGTACTTGATTTTTCACCTGTTTTGTATTTGTATTTCTCTATAAACTTCTGCATTAAGTTTAATAATTTAATCTGAAGATGTGTTTATTTGGAAAACATTTCCTATAAGGAGAGTTAGACTATGGCATTCAGAGTAAACTAGTACTTTTTAAATGCAAAATCAGCTTGTTCCCGGAGGAAAGCCAGATCATTATGGCAATAGGCCAAGTGCGCACTCTTGGAGTGGTCCTAGCTGGACTCCGTCTTCTCTGCTCCACCTTAAGCACTTTTATTCTGTCCCTTTTCTCCCAATCTCTCAATTGCATGTTTTAATTTCATTCTCTTTCCCTTTCTAAACCATGAACCTTTAAATAGTCTTATGTCCTATTGGGGACATCTAAAGACGATAGGATTATTAGACTAGAGTTTATCCCCCCACACACTTAAATAACATTTTTCATGATCTTTTCTATGCACCGCCATCACTCAATCTAATTTTGTTAGTCCACTTATTGCATGTTAACTAGTACCAACCGATGTAATAAATACTTTACATTCCTTGTGTTAAGTCTCACAACATCACTCTAGGGTAAGAATTATTTTTATCCAAACAGATTGATGTAGGAACCGGTAGCTTACCCAGGGTCATTCCACCAGTTGTGATGGAATTTAGTCTTGTGTCTGTTTGGCACCAAAGACTGTGCCATTGACCCCTCACCATAGACAGTTGCATCATCGGTGCCCTGGAATTTGAAGCTCCATGAGAAGAGCCCCTCCTTACCACCTGTAATGTCCTTCTCTTCTGCTTACC